GTTACAAAAAGTTCCCAAAAGCTTGCTCTTTCTTTTTTTAAGTATAACTCGTTTTTTTTTTGTTAAAATATCCTAGCATACTGTCCAATTACATACTGTTCGATTACGTATTTGTTATTATCCATAATGATAGTAAAGATCTATAGAGGAAAAATATATGTAATTGGCAACTAATTGTTTGTTATTGTTGTTTATTACTGTTGTGTGGGAAAATATGGGTGACATGTGGAATAGCAACATCGTGACACGTGGCCTTACTTTTCCTCAAAATGTGACAACACTCGACGCTTAAAGCTCGCTTCCTCTCTACGCTGCAAATAAAGCCTGACTTAGGGTATCGACCCGGCATACTATCGACCAGTCGTGCCGTCGATCTTATGGCAACAAAATTCCTATGTCTGGAAAGGGTCGACTACCAGGAAGGACATGAGATCTACGCAGCGCAGACGATGAGGGGAATACTCTTCAGAAAGGGGCTTGACATCACAAGTTACGTCTAAGGATGGGAGATGTCTGCAGTAGAGGCATTAATTGTAATCCCTTAAATTGCCCTACAGTAGGCAGTGAAGGATTACGAGAATCCACATAGCCGTAATGGAAGACCAATTTGCTGAGTGAACAGTTCAAAAGGTGATTAATGGGCTACGATCTGGGCCTAGAAAGGTAGGCCACTCGAGTACTTCTACCTACAAAGGAGAACCGCCTACGAATGAACCTTGACTATAAAAGGGGCAAAGCCCCATACACGGAAGGAGGATTGGCTTCTTTAGGATTCAAGAAGAGGAAGAATAACGATTCATGTAAATTATAAGAGTTCAATAAAGAAATAAAATACACAAGGGGATGTAGCTTTTCATTAACAGAGTGAACCACTATAAATTTCGCGTGTCCTCTCATTCAAGCATGATTCTCATGCTTTCAAAAATATAACAAACACTTCATAGCATAACTTCAAATATACAGTTAATTTCCAGCCGGTAACCCAACGGAATACCAGTAGATAACGTGACGTATTCTTGTTGACGAAATTTAGCCGTCAACAATTACATTGCTGAAATTTGAAACCAACTTACTCAAAATATAATGAAATGGATGACCAATTTCTCAATGATGTTTATGAATTTCTTGTTTTTTTTTCATTTACGATAAAATCACTTTGTTGTCATTACTTGTAATTATTAATTTTATGTTAGGGCATTTAAACATTATTTGTGGATAAAATACGTGTTCTACTTGAAAAAGAAAAAAAGGAAGCCATTGGTGATCTTTATGTTAAAAAAAGGGGGGTTTCGGGATCTAGGACACAGAAGAACCTAAAAAGATAATCACTTATGGCATTTAACCAAAAAAAAAAAAAAATTTGGGACTAAGGATGCCAACAGAGTAATCTAGGACACAGAAGAGCCTAAGGTCTCGTTCACTTCGCTGATTCGAGTTTAGAATTCGAGTTGAGATGTGATTTTATGTGAGAGCTTTTTACTGTAGCAAAAAAGTTAGATGTGATTGTTTGTGAGAGCTTTTTACTGTAGAAAAACTTGAATTCTAAACTCGAATCAGCGAAGTGAACAGAGCCTAAAAAGATAATCACTTATGGCATTTAACCAAAAAAAAAAAAAAAAATTGGGACTAAGGATGCCAACAGAGTAAGGTTAGTTTGATGATTGTTGTGTTGTTGAAATTTTTTGTTGTTATGTGCTTTTATTTAAAAGTAGAAATTTAAGTTTGATAAACTATGTATAAAATTGGTATAGCGATGTATAATGATTAAAATAGGCACAAGCACACATATTTACAATTATTTTTATTTCTATTCTAAGATCAATATATTCATATGGAAAAAATAAAATGGGTAAAAGTTTTAATAATAATGTTATCTAGTAAATGTAGAAAATGACAGCAGAAGGGCAATAGTTTTTAATAGCTGATAGACAAAAGTAGAATTTACAAAACACCATATAATCTATTGTAGCCTACTAAAAAAAATAAAAGCATTCTCTAAAAACAATACCCAAGAGGCCTTAAGTTTGAGAGTTGAGTATCTACGTTCTTAAAATAAGGAGAGATTAAGAGAAATAGGCCTGATTAAAATGGCAATAAAAATAAATAGGCCAAGTTTTATAATTAGTTAGTAAATAAGGCTAATATGTTTAAATTCATATCTACACTAAAGTAACATTCCAAAAATGCTTTTGATTAAAAATGGAAATGAATCCTAAAATTTACTTCGGGCTCTCTCTCCATGTGTCCAGAAATATTGTGCTGCCAAGCAAATCTCACGGTGGCTTCGCAACATCTTGTTGTGATTTCTTTGTCGTACCTATACGTTTCTATTCAATCGTCGAAAATCGTAACTGAAATCCTACTCTTTCTTTTCCCATTCTCTCACCTTCTTTTCCTCCTTATTCCTTATCTTCTTATTTCTTTAAAAACAAAGACATTATTTCTTTCTTTTTTCTTCATCATTTGGCTTTATTAGCTGTGGATCAGTCAGTATTTTAAAAAAACTAACTATTAGATTGGTCACTGATGTGACTTTTCAACGAGTCGCACAAGTAATATAATGAGTGAATAAGATATCGTTCTTACGGAGACTAACTTAATAATTATTGAAATTTATATTTTTAACTTTATCTAGACAAATAAAATCTCTGACATAGATCAAAACTGAAAAATAAAATAACACAAATTATACGCAAAATAATTATGAAAATAGATCAATGTAAAGAAAACACTAGAGCATACAAGTTTCACCAAGATAATTCTTATTTAATTATAATTATTAGCTAACATCGCCTCTCATTCATGTAGTAGAACGAAAAACCATAATTTATTTAATAGTCCTTTTGGGATGCTATTAAAAATATTTCCAACATGTAAATTTACTATCGCTAGATGTGAATCCCGCCATCCTAGAAATTCATTAAGTTCGTTGGATTTTTATTAAATTGCTCTCGCAAGTCGTAATATTATCTCTCGATGTCCTACGCACCATATGATTCCTTTCATCAAAAAGTATTCCTAAAAATCTCCTTCTGGGGTTTCAATTTAGGTTTTCAATTGAATTTAATAAGTGATCAGTTTATTAAAAACATTAAGAACAATAAAAGAAACACATACATGAATGGAAAACTCTTAGTGAATAAACTTCATTGAAAGAAAATAACGGAAATTAAATATTCATGTCTTGGCTACACTTGTAGTCATAGTCTAGAAATTTAGAACATAATTGAGAAAGAAAACATAATGACAATAAAATTCAACATAAGAAATTCAGGAAAGAATAAAACTGTTTGGCGAATTCGAAGTTGAACTCCGTTCTTGAACGAATCCTCCTCTCCTTCATAGAGCCGTCTTCTCTCCTTCTTTTCTTCTCCCAAAAGATGTAGAAAATAACCCTAAAAATCATATTTATAGTGTTTAGAATCGTAATAGCATTTTTGTAAATTCTTGGAACTCAAATAAGCCCAAATTGGCCAATCTCCTCGAAGTAGCGTCGCGGCCCTGGTTTTGGGCAGCGCGGCGCTGGTTAGAAAATCAACTCTCCATGTGCAGTGCTTCGAAGTAGCGTCGCGGCTCTGGGCGGAAACTTGCTTCATTGCGTAAAATAGCCCATGGTTCCACTACACAAAGCCTAGGCTCTCTTCACTCGGGTTTTTATACTGTAAATGAAGCATTACAGAGCCTAGGCACCATTTTTCAAGGCCGAGGCTCTCCAATCTCAATTTACCTCTAAAAATTACTCCAACACTTGCCTACGAACTCCAAATGATTCTAATCTACAAAACCAACCAAAATTATGTAAATTAACTACTAAAACTACTCTAAAACTAACAAAACATTCAATTAAATGTATCAAAAGATAAGCATAAATCTAATGTATCAGCCACAAACATTGTAAATCGATAATTCACCAACATAACATATAGTGTTTCTTACATTGTAAATTCATAAATTACAAATAAATACAATTTGTGTTTTGATGAAAAATTCAAGATTTGCGAACCAATAGAAATTTTGTTTTGATGGTAAATTCTGGATTGACACTATAAATCCAAAATTTACTACTAAAGACAAAATGTATTCTAATAGTAAATTCTGGATTTCACAATAAATCCTAAATTTAAGAGTAAAATTAAAAAAATATTTATCATATATTAGTATAGTCAATATAATTCGACAACAGATTTAGCCACATTGCATATCTTAAGAAAATGATAATAATAATCATACTTATATTACTTATACCTTCAATTTGTAATTCACGTTATTCGGTGACGGGCATCGACAGAAAGAATGGCCGGTAATGTGAGAGAGAGTCGATGAGAAAGAGAAAAGTATACCCACGAACAATAGATAGAGAGAGAAGCGAAAAAAGGAGATTGAGGGGGAAAGAAAAAAAAAGGAAAAAAAAGGTTAGAATGAAAAATGATAAATTTGAAAAATGAACAATTCAGAACATAAAAAGGCCTATTAATTCCTTCATATTGATAAATTGATTATTTATTTTGGGAGTTTCTCCTAAGGCCAAAAAAATAGAACTACGGTAGTTTTATTTTTTAGTTGTTTTTAACTGTTAAATATGTATCAAAAAATGATCTTTTTTACATACTTTTTTAATCATATTTAATTTTAATTAAATTTAACGGTCAAAAAATTGGTTCTACTAATAGTACGACCTACCAAAGATAATCTCATTTATTAATATAAATTTTAAACTAGACCTATTTTTTTAGAATTTCCTTAAAATAAGGACGGACAGTTTGTTAGTTAAGAGTTAAAGATGGATATCTCATTTAATTTATTGATTCGAGTTGAGATGTGACTTTATATGAAAATTTTTTTTATAATAAAATAATTAAATGTAACTATTTTTTAAAATTATTTATTATAACAAAATTTAAATCGGTGAAATAAACTAATCCTAAAATATCAAACATCATCAAGATCGGGGACCCATGACGCGCAAAAGTCACAAAAAAACAATAATAATACTTCAATAAAAATTCGAAAGAAAAAAAAAAAAGCATTTCCAACTAATTCACGGAGAAGAACGAGAGGGCTTTTTTCTCTCCTCTCGTACGTTCCTCTTTCAAGGAGATCCAAATCTCTTCGATCTCTTCTTCTTAGAGAGAGAAAGAGAGGTAAATTCAAAGTGCGATTATGGATCAGATACTCAACAAGGTGGGCTCGTACTGGTTCAGCCAGAAAGCCAACAAAGAGCTCAATTCCGTCGGCGATGACATAAGCGTAACCTTCATATTTTCCTCTTTCTCATTTTCTGGAATTAAACCTTGTTTTTATGTGCGTTAAATTTGATTTCGATCTGACTTCCATTTTAATTTCGATCTTGTCCATAAATGTCGTTACTTTTCTGTATGAGTTGTTCGTTAATTGAATTAGGGTTTCTGTTTCTGACGATTGGGAACTTTGATTTTTTGAATGGAGGAACTTTGATTTAAAATAGCTTCATTTTTAATTCAATGCGATTAAATCATAATTAGCTGAACAAATTAGGGATTTTCGTGTGGGAATTAATATTATAATCTGCAACTGCCTTGGTTTTTTTTTTTTTTTTTTTTTAATTCTCGTTTTCGCAATTCTTGGGCTTTAGAAATGATCAGTCGGGATATGTGACAGCTTATTATTTGAAATTTGAAAGTTACCCACTTTTTAATTCTCGTTTTCGCAATTCTTGGGCTTTAGAAATGATCAGTCGGGATATGTGACAGCTTATTATTTGAAATTTGAAAGTTACCCACTTTTAAGGCAATATTTTAGGTGCGATGGTATTCTATAATTTCAACTTTCATGTCCATCTAATCTCGCGAGCATCCTATGAATGTTAATATTTCCTATTATTTTTTATTTTTTTATTTTTATTTTTAATATATAGAAAGATATTTCTTATTTTGTTGTTGCTTTGGTTCTTTACGTATTTTTATAGTGACCCCTTTTCTCCTATAATCAGTCATTGTCATCCAGCATTGAAGGAGGAACCAAATGGTTGGTTAATAAAATTAAAGGTTAGTTTTTCCCTTGTTTCACTCTTTGCTTTTCAGTACGTTGCAATTGCATGTTAAGGAAATTCTTATATGCTAATTGTATGAATAATTATCGCGACCATGTTTACCTTTTGAATTAGAATCAGTGATAGCATGTTAAAGGTTGTGGCATATGAATATGATGATTATGCCTGTGCATTTGTTTCCTTTGCGGCATGATGTTTGCTTATAGTATACTCCTGTGAGCTTCGAAAATTACAATCTGTTTGCTTTACTTGGAGTAAAGCATAGTGTGGTATGACTATGATGAGACGGTAAAATTCGGGTGTCTCTTACAACATTGAGTACTGATTGATTATCAACTGAAGGCTGTAAAAGGGTAATTTCAAATCCAGAAACTCAATATGGTAGAATGGTTGTGTCAGTTGCTCGAGAATATATATATATATATATATATATATATATATATAATTTGCTGTAGACAGCAGGCGTTATAGCTCTTATGATGTGGCTTTGCTGTAACTTTCTACTTGATTATATTTATAGCACACCTTTAAAGTGCAGAAGATTTATTATCAGGGAGAATGTAGTAAATAACAGGTTTTGAAACTAAATTACGTAAATAACAGATTTTAAAACTATCTGAAAATAGCAGTTTATGTGGTAAATGAATCATTTGCCACGTAAATGGTTCATTTACAGCTTCTAAAAACTTTTTTTTTCCACAGTTTCTTTTTACAACTGGTAAAAAGAAATTTTTCATGTAAATAAAGATTTTTTAAGATTTTTTATCATGTAAGTTATTTTTGGATTAATTACAAAAAAATTTCCCCTGAACTATACCCCTTATAACACTTTGCCATCCAATCTTTCAAACGTAACATCTGTTCCTCTTGAACAATGAAATGTCAACAAAAAAACCCCGTCCATTAGGCTTTTTTAACATAGATTGACATTTAATATATTAATTTAGGGGTATTTAAGTAGCTCCATGGTTTAAAATTTAGTTTGAATTTAAAATTAATTTAAATTTAGATTTTGAATTATGATACATCAATTATTGACTGAATGCAAGTTAAAAATTTTATGAATCTTTTTTGGTGGAATAAAAAAATTTATGAAGTTTTTTTTTTGAATATCAAAATACCCAAAATAGCAAATTAAATGTCAATTTCAGTTAAAAACATGACGGAGAGGGCTTTTTTTTGTTAACATTTCACTGTTCAGGAAGAACGGATGTTACGTTTTAAAAATTAGGGGGTAAAGTGTTACAGGGTATAATTCAGGGGGAATGTTTGTAATTAATCCTTATTTTTTACCAGTTTCATTTACCACGTAAATTGCTATTGACTTGAAATAGTTGTAAAATATGTTATTTAACTTAATTTAGCTTAAAAAATATGCTATTTACTTCAATTTCCTGTAGTATCATAGTATGTGAATTTGGCAGCTAAAATATGAACCAGTTGTTCACTTGATCCATGGACCTATCCATCACTGTATCGATCAATGCCGTGCGACTTTTACAGGAAAAATGCAGAAGCCATTACCCGAGCTGCTGAAGGAGTATGACCTTCCAGTAGGAATCTTCCCTCGTGATGCTACAAACTATGAGTTCAACGAGGAGACAGGAAAGCTTGTTGTCTTTGTCCCTGCAGTGTGTGAAGTCGGCTACAAGGATTCATCTGTCTTACGTTTTTCCACCACAGTAACTGGATTTATGGAGAAAGGAAAGCTGGCTGACGTAGAAGGAATGAAGACTAAGGTGATGATATGGGTAAAAGTTACCTCGATATCATCTGATAGATCAAAGGTCAATTTCACGGCTGGGATGAAGAAAAGCAGGAGCAGAGACGCTTACGAAGTTCTTCGAGATGGTGTTGGTGTGGACAAGTTTTGAAAGGATGACTGTCCTGTATCTCATCTGTAAACTATAATTTAGTTAAATCTAATATGTGGATCCTGTGGCTTGTTCTCCATGATTTGTTATTGTACGTACAAAAACCTGGTTGAATCGAGTTCTAAAATGTTTATTGTGGGTGTCAAATAATTGCAAATTCAGTAAAATTGCCGTTTTTAGGTGTGGACATTTCCTATTTTTGTTTAAATATTGTAGATAAAAACGGTACGAAACTGCGAATAATGTTCCTTTTCAAGTCGAAAAATGGTTGTAAAGGTTCTTAATTATCTCGAGAATTTGGTTGGTCATTGGGTATCTATCTATCTCTATTGCCAAATGGTCAAATGCCTATCCAAAAGGAAGAAGACAAGTGGCTAGCCATAAATTTGTTTGCTAGAACGACACGAAGCTTCCATTTTTGGCCCTTGTAGGCGAAGGATACGGAACAACTTCGTCAACTTGGTCATCTGGATTGAAATGTTTCAATAATGCTTTAATGGATGGTTTCTGCATTAGAACATCCATAACTATTTACTATAAAAAGGCCGATATGAAAAGCTTAAGAAAGTACATAAGTCAATTTTTAGTTATAGAAATTAATAGGTTATAATTTTTCAAGTTATGGTTCATAATCAGATAAGTTATGGTTCATAGCCAAACAAGTTATAGACAAAAATCGTGAATTATGGACAATAACTTGTCAAGTTATGGTTCATAACCAGACAAGTTATGGACAAAAACAGTAATTTAGCCTATTTATTAACTTACGTAAACTATTGGCCTATTAATTTTAATTCATCTCGACCTATTTTCCTCTTTCTCCCAGTTACTAATAGATAACTTATAATTACAAAAGCTTCTCTTTTATTTTTCAGATTTTTTTGGCATATAACCCTTTATTTCTAGAAATTACAAGTATAACATGTCTTTATTTTATTTTAACTAATAAGTGTTAACCGTGATTAAGATTTGAATATTTCAATAGCAAATCGAACACAAAACAACACTCAACGACCTTGTAACAAATGATGAGTTGGTGTTTTCTCAAGGAGAACACCAAAAGCCATCGGTGGGAGGGGCATCGTGTAAATGGGGTTGGTGACATGTTTGAAGCTTCAATCATGGTTTTACAGGAGAGAGGAAGGCCGTGGTTTATGGTAGTGCCGGTGAAGGTGCACGGAATTTTCAAAACCTAAATACTAATACCCTTCAAAATGCATTGATACCAATTGGTTGGATATGGGTGTTGTCTAGTATCCCCATAGTCTAGAAAGAGTAAACTTTTAAAAATAAAAGATGATCAGATGAAAAGTGCACGGAAAATTCCATCATGGGAGGATCAAACCTCTGATTAGGATAAATGATAAAAGTCGCCTCATATTCCAAAAAAAAAAGATATATATATATATATATATATATAGAGAGAGAGAGAGAGAGAGAGAGAGAGAGAGAACTTCTAAATGCATATAGTTGGTCTCAAATACAGGCTGAATTCAGCTTGAAGGTGTGCCAAACATTTCATGTTATATTAAGATTACGCATAGTGCTTGGAACAATCAGATTCACAATTTCCACGAACAAATTAAGAACACAAGAAATTAAGGATTCGTTTCTAGTCTCTTCAAGACCTTATGCCCAAAGCAATGATGGAGACTCACAGACTCTCTTGAAGACTAGTGACCCCCTTTAAACCTCTGTAGTTTTTAACGTTATGTTTTTTTTTTTTTTTTTTTCCTGATGTCTTCTTCCCATCAAAGAAGACAAATACCTAACAGATGGGACGTTATTTCACCAAAGGATGTGACCCTTCACTTTTAGGAAAATATAACTGAAATGGTTTTTTTTTTTAATTTTTTTTAAATTTAAAATTAAAACATTTATTAATTTATTCAAAATTAAAGAAACGTTTCCAACATGGTTAACATTATAGACAAGTACTGAAGATGTGGATGGATATCACCAGGGGGCCATTGCCTCAGAACTATTTACAAACGACCAAATGCTAATCTGAACTCGGATTTTAATGACCAGCCAAAATATTTTTAGTTCCTGTCACAACATTTTGGACCATGGAAGCATGAATTATTTTCTTTTTCCCGTCGTCCTAGGTGAGCGAGTGATCGCCACAAAAGGGCCAGAACAGAGAAGCATAATAAATTATTGATGCTATGCGGATCAACTTCATCCCACTTCATCACCTTGATTGAAGAGTTATGGTTATGCAACATTTGAATCACTTCACTGGATGTGGTCGCTTTCATTAAGTTGTTGAAAGAAGGCTTTTGTTGCTTCATAAGTAGACCAGCAAATTGCAGCAGCCGGCGCATGGAAAAGAATCCTGGGGATCCAACCTCTCATGAGGCCCTGATATCCATCCTTTATCACGATGCTCCGAGTAACATCTCCAATCGAACTGCTTGAAAATCTATGACAACCACACACACCCTGCAAAAGCATATTTAAACCTTTAGAAACAATGTAGAGACTGATATCACATAAGAGCTACAAAGGCCAGAGTCAAACCTTGAGAGACAATGTAATACATTTAGCACCCCCTGTTATATCAGCATTAAAATAGATTCCAAAACGCTATAGGATTTTACTAAATTTTGACGGTTCTGCCAAATTCCTAATCAGTATTATTATTATTATTATTATTTTTTTTTTAATTTTTTTCTTGCCTTACCTTTAAAATTCCCGTGTTGTAACATAGGAAAAAACCAATTCAGAAATTGAAGCACCTTTTGATCACGAGCTTTACTTATTTAAGCCAATCTATCCAAACGACAATACTTCTTATACTCTACAAGGAAATACTTTCAACCAAACTGTTAGAAATGCCGAAATATCGCGCGACAATAGGTATGGAGCTCAAATATGTAAAATTTTGTCAAAAACCCATACAGAAAAAAAAATCCCATCTTCACTGCATGCTTTGTACTACCGATTGAGCTAGTTTTTTAGCCGTTCGGTTTAACGGTCGAAAATATGAACAAGAGTAGTTTTGTGCCTAAGTACACTATTTTAACATGGACATTGAAAAAACAGATAGTTAAAATTTAATTGAATGACTAATAAAATTTTATCTACCAATAGGGAAAAAAAACCGTGCACTACCACAAAATATCATTTATATATATAAGTGGATGACTGTGCACTACCATAAAATATAATATATACACACGCACACATATGTGGTATGACTGTCATTATCACTCGTTTATTATGATATTTTAAATTAGAGTGATTCTAATCATGATTTTAGAATCAGAATTATGATTCATGATTTTAAATTTAAATCATGATTTTAAAATCGTGATTTAGAATCAGAGGTTTGAATCGCCTTGAATCAAGAGAGGAGTGATTTTAGAATCATGAGTGATTCTGGTTTAAAACATCACATTAGATTTCGAATCATGATTCAGAATCATCCAAACAAAAAATTGATTCTGAATCATTACAAGCACTGATTCTGAACCAAAATTTAGAATCATGATTTTGGATCCATCTATCAAACGCTTAAAACTTTAGATACTAGTATCTCATCGGATTTTGACCATTCAAAATAATTTAAAAAACTTGTATTAATACAAAAAATGGGTAAGTACGCACTTAGTCGGCACTAGCATCGATGGGATGGCTACCATAACATAAAAAAACATGTTCGTATTAACTTCCTTCAACTTTTCCGCTAAACTCTTTTTTTTTTTTTTTCTTTTTCGTATCAAATTTCTTGACACTTAAATCTCCAACTTTGTATTTTACATTATGACATTTTGTTTTCTTTTTATTATTTGCTACGAAATGAAAGAATTTAGTGTGCATTTTATCATTTTTTTTTATTTTGAAGGGCTTGTTGTATTATTTTGAAATAAATTAAAATATGAACACGTAAATTTATTTTTAGAAATAAAATAGGTAATATATGATTGTATTTCATTAAACATAAAAAAATTCAAAATTGAAACACAACGTAATTTGGAGTGTAAAATATTTTCAAAAATATGAATATCGGTGAAAATATCTTATTATTTCAAAAAAAATGCAATAACTTTCCCAAATTAAAAAAAAAGTACAAAAAATTCTTTTAAATAAAATACTAATATTAATTAAAATGATCAACAAATGTTCTATGTTTTAAGAGCAATGCCAAAATTTTACCAAAAATTAACAATAAATTCTACAGAAAAAAAAGAGCAATGCCAAAATAAATTATTAAGGACTTCAGTACAAAAAAAAAAAGGAAAGTTTGACCTTTAAGAAAGGATTTTTATCCAAAAAAACAAAAAAAAAAAACAATAACAAAACGGTTAACAGACGAACCTATGTAGCAAGATTTTAAAATGGAGAATACGAACACCCATAATTTAGGATCTGTTTAGTTGCTGATTTGAGTTGAAATGTAAATTTATATAAAAACTTTTTATTATAATAAAAAAAATTAAATGTTATTATTTTTAAAATTTTTTTTACTATAACAAAACTCGAATTATAAACTCAAATTAGTGTAGTAAAAAAGTTACATCTCAACTCAAATTATTTTAAAATTCGAGTTGAGATATGATTTTATATGAGAGCTTTTTACTGTAGTAAAAAAGTTAGATGTGATTGTTTATGAGAGCTTTTTACCGTAAAAAAATTCAAATTTTAAACTCGAATCAGCGAAGTGAACGGGGCCTAAATGAATGGCCTTAAAATACCTATCATGCAAAATTTCCTTCATTTTATTTTGACATCATTATTCAAATTATCTATTGGATATTTCCCAAGATATTTCTCATCGAGGTGAAGATACCAAATGCATATTTCCTCCTCACCTGACACTGCAGTTGAGTCTTGACCACATCGAGCGGCGTGGTCACGGCGGCCGCCAATGCCCCGGCCACCGCCCCGGCGGTGGCGTGAACCACCAACTTCTCATCACTGACGCTCTCTGGTGAGATGACCTCCGTTAACGCCCTCTTGGCTGCCTCGTACGCCGCGAAATGAACTGCCGTGTATGGCGCGTTCATCACCACCGTCGTCCTGTACGAGGCGTAGAACGCCCCAACACCTTCCTCCACCAAAACCCTCCTAACGCAGTCCCCAACGCCCCTGTACGGACTGCTCTTCAGCTGCAGCCTCTGTTTCACCACGTCCATCGGCGTTATCACGGCGTCGCTCGCCACCGTCGCGAAAACCCCGGAAATTGCATGAGCCAAGGTGTTATTCGGATTCTCGCCTGAGAAGATGCGTTTGCAGTGCTCGTAGACGGAGAAGTAGACGGCATGGGCCGGACCGGCGCCGAGGCCCATTGCTCCGATTCCTCTGTAGAGGACAGACGGGCCTTCCAGCTTCCAAATGGAGTTTAGGGCTTGCCGGACGCCGATGGGCCGAAGTCCAACTAGGGTTTGCATGCGGGTCTTGAGGGTGTCGACGGGGAACATGGCGGTGTGCTCGATGATGCCGGCGACTGAGCCGGCGATCATGAACTTCCAGAACTCGAGGCCGTCGTGGGTCGCCGTCGCCGGGGAGATCGATATATCGGGGCGGAAATCGGGGCGTTTCGGTTCAGCCGAAACGTTGCCATGTTGGTGGATTAGTGGAAAGTAGTAGTGAAGAAGGAAGATGAAGGTGCTTTTAAAGGAGGGAGTGAATAATTGGGGTGCGAAGATCGCTTTCGGGTTGAATGGGATTTGGGTTGTTGTCGCCGTCACCATGCAAGAAGTAAAGAAAGTTTTGGATGATTTTTAGGCAAATTGAGGACGTTTTTTCGGGGAAGATACAGAGTTTCTTTAGTTCGCTGATTCGAGTTTTTAATTTAAGTTAAGATGTGACTCTATGTGAGAGCTTTTTATTGTAGTAAAAAAATTAGATGTAACTGTTTCAGAAACTGTAACAAAACTCAAATTTTAAACTCGAATCACTAAAATAAACATGCTTATAATCTCATTCATTTTACTGATTCAAGTTTAGAATTTAAATTTTACTACAGTATTCTAAAAAACAGTCACATTTAATTTTTTTATTACAGTAAACAGTTTTCACATAAAATCACATCTCAATTCGAATTAAAAACTCGAATCAGTGAACTAAACATGCCTATAAGTATTGTAGATATTGACGGTTTGCATTATTAGTTTTCGCTCAGGTTGTTTTGGATTTTCCTACAATTATGGCTAGAAAACTGAAAAGAGGCGAGAAAGAATAAGGTAAAGATTTCTGGCTTAGAAAGAGTTTAGACACACACATATATTTGGTTTAGGAAAAGATTGATTCTGATTGGAAGATAATTAATGTTCTGTGCAATGTAATTTACTTATTCTTTCCCATCTACTGGGAGGGAGTATATAAACTTTGCCACACCAAAAGCTGAAAGCGTATCGTAGCAACTACCAATATGCTTATAGTTTTTGAATGCTCGATGGTTAAAAACTTATCTAGTTTTGGAATGCTCGGGTGTTAATAACTTTTATAGTACAGTAAATGTGTGTATACATATATATATATATAGAGAGAAAGAGAGAGAGAGAGAGAGAGAGAGAGAGAGAGTTTGTCTACTTTCTTCTAGAGGAATATCGACAAAGCTCGTATATACGTGTTACAATCCTATCAACACGATCATATTGTTACGTAACATCACATTTATTAAATATAACCATAGTTTTATGTGACTTAGAGGAGTCGTAAAAAGCAAACTCAGCAGTAATAACTATAAAGGTCGAGTTTTTTTTTTTCTTATATATATAGACTAAAAAAAGGAATTATATTTTGAATATTCCTTAATTTTTTTAATCCTTAGCAACCTTACCACAATGGGGGTTTCCATCACTATTGTCTCACCAATACTTCCAATTCAATATGTATACATCAGAGCAAAGAATATCAACAAAATGGTCAAGCACGCGTGGTGTCCACAATCCACAGGCTAACGGCCAACAAAAGCATCTTTTTCTTCCTAAAAGCCCTATGGCTTTTACATCAGCAAGTAGTAACCAGACTAGACAATGAACTCGTCTTGTCCTGATCTTCAACCAAAGGTCCCCCCACAACCTCTCGATCATTCCGGACCGGACAAGCTTAATTTGAACTCGATCAAGCACAGTTACTTTGGATGAATTTGGATTCTTTGCGCTACTCTTGCTAGTGATGGTTCGTGTTGGCTTATTACTTTGTGATGGTGCAAAGAGATCAGGTTTCTTTATCAGCTTTATGGACTAGTAAGTTCTTATTAATCACTAGTTATTTATTATATTTAAAGACTCCTCTAGTTTATATGGTTAGATTCAGCTTGTTGTCTAAGGAAAATATCTAGCAAATGGCTAGAGAAACCACTAATGTTTAACCTGCATGCTGGAAACACCAAGGGACATCAGTACTACTGAGGTTGCAAGAGAGAACTAATTAAGAGCAGAAATTTGGTTGCAACACAAGATAACAGTTCTAGACCTTAAACATATGAAATCACAATATCAAATATCTGAAATGTCCCAGAATCTTATCATCTGTATACACTAGAGGAGAAAAAAGTGTGTGATGCATAGGCAAAAAATCAGTTATTTGTTGGGAAGAAAATATTATAGTTTGAGGAGAGAAGAGGAGAAGTATATCACTTTATAAGGTATTGGGCTTCTATCTTAAAAGATTAATCTGTTTAAGTGGGGTAACCCAATATACTTATATGATTGTGATTATATTTATATTTAGACAATGTGGGACTCGGGCATTTTACCCTTAACACGCCCCTACAAGATGGTGCTCCGCTAGAGTCACCAATATTGTATTTTTGATGGACCCAGCTTATTTGAGCAACGAGCTATGATACCATATTAGAGATTGAGGAGAGAAGTGAGGGAGAAGAACACTTTATAAGGTATATATTGAGTTTCCATTTTAAAAGGTTAACCTGATTAAGTGGGGTGATCCAATATGTTTATATGAATGTGATTATATTTGTATTTAGATGATGTGGGACTCGCACATTTTACCTTTAACATAAACGAAGATATTAATTCTAATTAATTTATTCATTTAAATTTTGTAAATATTCAGTTTTTAGATTTCCTTTCTCTCCTTGTTATCTAGTTAAGTTACCCATTATCTAATTTGCTTATTGTATCTAGTTAAGTTACCCATTATTTAGTTTCTTCTTTTTAATATTTGCATTGTAATTGTAACTCTATAAATACCTAGATTATTCAATGAGAAGAAGATGCTATATTTTTCTCTTCCCCCCATTCTTTTCTATAGAAAAGATCCTGAGTAGGAAAAAAAAATGTTGGGTGCGTTTGGAATTTCTTCCAAAACGTTTTTGTTTTCTGTACGAAAATGGAAATGAAAACGTTTTCATTTTTATTTTTGAATTATTTTTGAAAATGCGTTTGGTAGTTTTATTCAGAGATTGATTTCAGTTTTAAAAAAAATTGAAACTGCGTTTGGTGGTTTTATTTTTAAAAACATGTAATAGTATTTAATATATTAAATAAATAATAATTGAATCCCAAATAAAAACACTAATAATTAATAAAATATGGAAATTACAATCTTAGCTTAAATTATTGTTGCTGATACGAATCCCACATTTGATTAGCTAGATGATCCCACATTCAATTGCAGCTGGCCATTTCATATTATCGTCCTTATCACACATCTAAAATAACACTTTCATCATTAAAATAAATCACAATTTTAAAGTATATAGACACACACACACACACACGCAGGGGCTGAATCAGCCCCAATATCAGCCTCCCAGGGGCTGATTCAGCCCCAGTGGAGGCCTCCCAGGGCCTGATATAGCCCCAATATCAGTCTCCAGGGGCTGACTCAGCCCTAATGGGAGGCTCCCAGGGGCTGATACAGCCCCAATGTGAGGCCCTAAAGGGCTGAATCAGCCCCAATGGGAGGCTCCCAGGGAAAAAAAACACGAAAAAAAATCACCAAATCAGATAAAAAAACATATCAAAAAATTAGAAAAAATACTCAACCAAATCAAGTGGAAAACATATCAGCCAATTTGGTTGAGTATATCAAATCAAAAATATATCAAAAAAGCCATAAAAAAAACAAATCAGAAAAAATGCTCAACCAAATCAAACGGAAAACCATCAAACGTTTTTGTCTAGGGGCATACCTCGGTGAGAAAAGGGCGAGACGAGAATAGGGCAGATCGGGCAAGAAGACACTGGAGGAGCTCATGCGAGAATAGAATGGAGGAGCTCCGGTGAGAAGCAAACGGTGCAAGTCAGGCGAGAAGGAAACCGGAGAAAACGAATCGGGCGAGAAGAACGGAAGAGCTTGGCCGGGAAGAAGGGCCGAAGAAGGGCAGAAAAAATCTGAAGAAAGAAGAGAGAACGGGAGGCTGAAGAAAGAAAAGCAAAACAAAAATGAAAATGAGAAAATGAAAACAGTTTTTTTTGCGTTTTTAGAATTTCATAAAACGACAAAAACAGTTTTGTTTTTGTTTTTTTTTTAAACTTTCGCCAAACGCGTTTTCAATTTTTTGCTTCGAAAAACGTGAAAAATGAGATTGAAAATGGTAACAAACAGGGCCGTTGATTTTCCATAATCTCCAAGGCCAGACAAGAAGTCGAGCCATAAATTCAAATAGTAATTAAAAGTTCATAAAATTCATGATTGACCAAATTCTAAAGAAAAACTGAGGGTCCGTTTAGTTTGCTGATTCAAGTTTTTAATTCGAATTTAGATGTGACTTTATGTGAGAGCTTTTTAGTGTAACAAAAAAGGTTAGATGTGACTGTTTCTGAGAGCTTTTTACTATAACTGTTAGACATGCGTTTTAGAGTGCTGCCACGTTGTAGAAGTGGTTCAGCCACGTTGTCAAAGTTTGTTTTACATTTGAATGATTCAAAGTAGTCTACCTAGTTTTTAGGAAGTTGCTAATTTTTCTGTTATGCACGTTTGTAACCATGGCACACGTTAAGGGCCATGACTTTAGTTAGTTGTTGTTCATCAGATTATAAATTGTAAAGTTTATGCAATTAATAAAGTTGATTCAGTCCTTTGCTAGTCAAACACATCTCTCTCAAGATATTTTCTTTTCTAATTAACAACAATTGGTATCAGAGCTCTCTTCTTAAGGGATCTGTGTGAGTTTGACGAGTCATGGAAGCCGAAGCTAGTTTCTCATCCATTGCTCCACCGGTGTTTGATGGAGACAACTACCAGATTTGGGTAGTACGTATGGAGACATACTTGGATGCTTTGGATCTTTGGGAAGCAGTGGAAGAAGACTATGAAATCCATGCACTTCCAAACAATCCCATCATGGCACAGATCAAAGCGCAGAAGGAGAAGAAGATGAAGAAATCAAAGGCAAAGGCCTGCTTATTTGCTGCAGTTGCATCCACCATTTTCACTCGTATCATGTCTCTGAAGTCAGCAAAGGAGATATGGGATTATCTCAAGATTGAATACGAAGGAGATGAAAGGATCCGTGGGATGCAAGTGCTGAACTTGGTACGTAACTTTGAGTTGCAGAAGATGAAGAAGACTGAATCCATCAAAGAGTATTCTGACAAGTTGCTTAAAATTGCAAGCCGAGTCAGACTACTCAGCTCGTCCCTGCCAGAATCAAGGATTATTGAAAAAATCCTTGTAACGATGCCTGAAAAATTTGAGGCAACAATTACATCCTTAGAAAACACTAAGGATATGTCAAAAATCTCCCAGGCAGAGCTGTTGAATGCTCTACAAGCAC